CTGTAAGCTATAGATATAGGCTTGAGACCTGAAAATTATTTCAAGAGGTCATCTGGGGTAAAAAAAAGTTGAAAAGGCTGGTTGAGAAGGTAATTTAAATACCATTAAATACAACAAGGCTGCAGTGTTAAGTACCTATCGCTAGATGGATGCAGAGACCACAGTGAAGTGTAATTGCATTGTCCCTTCTACCTCCTTCCATCCATTCTCCATTTTTAAGCCTACTTTATAGACAGTTGGAGAAAGGTGCAGTTTGCTGTGTTTGTGAAAGCAGCATAAACTTTGTTGTGATGATATAATCCCTAGGAAATACGATCTAGTGAATATTAATAATATACCTTCTTAAAATGACATCTGGCTTCCGTGTGAACTGGTTCAATCCATCTTTAGAAGTGATGTTCTGATACAATAGGGCTACAGTATTATACCTAGGCTTCATTAATCCAGATTATCACCTGGATCAGGATTTCTTAACCTATGTTTCTGTGAGGTTGATTTCATTTCATTTTCATTAACCTTTGATGAAAATTTAGCTTTTCATTCAATAACTTATATAAGCAGCACAGTGATTTATGCCTAAATCTCAGACTAAAATTATGACACCCTAAAATTAAGGTATTGCTATTAATTTAATGGGGTAATAGATATATTGCTGTTATACGTGTTATTTTTTATGTATTTCGATAAACTGTATTTGAGGATAATTGATGTACTGTATAATATGGTCCACATGCATTTTATTTATGCATTTAAATACATTCCTTATTAAACAGGGGTCCCTTAGATTTCACCAGGTTCTTTAAGAGGTCCCTAGCATAAAAAGGTTAAGAACTCCTGACCTAGTATGACAGTTTCACTTTTCTGTATCACTGTTGCCACGTAATGTTTATGTGGATATTTGCAACTCAGATCTAATGGCCTATGATTTGCCATTTTCAGAGGTGAGGCTGCCGTTTTTTATGGCAGATTTATACAAGACTGTATCCCTAAAGGAACTGTCTATCATCTATTTTTAAAATTTCAGTTGTGTCTTGGCAATTCTGTGGACCAACTCCACATCTGCAGATTTTCACCTGTTTCTTTCAATTGTTTTTTGTTGTGGCTTGTGTTGGTTTTGATGGTGTCTAGGCACTGTGTTTTTTTTTTTCCTTTTATTGCTGATCACTTTGAGCATAACCAAGCATAACTGCCTTTTCTAATGAGTTTGTTCTCATGACATAGCCAAAATAAGTAAGATGGAATTTTATGATTTTTACCTTTTAGTAATATATCTAGTTTTATATGCTCCAGTTCTTGCTTGTTTGTCACCTTTACTACCCAGGGAATGTGCAGGAGCCTTCAACGTCATAGCTTAAGTGAATCAATTTTTTCATGGTCCAACTTTCACAACCATAGGTAACTATGGGAAACATAATAAAATGGATTAATCTGCGTTTAGTTGCCAAGCTGATGTTCTTGGCTTTCCATATTCTATTCATGCTTATCATTGCTGTGTGACCCAGTGTGATTCAACACTTTATTTCTGGATGGCATTCGCTGTTTCAATCAATCTGAAATCCTAGGAAATTCTTGCATGCATTTGATATCTTCACTATCAATTGTTATTTCAAATATTTCCATTCCTTGCAGTGGTCATGAGCTTGGTCTCTTTTGATTGTTCAGAAACAGGCCAACTTTCTTACTTTCATCTTTCATCCTTTCGATTGGAGGTGTCTGAGAGAAGAGTTGTGTCATCAGCATATTAAGGATTGTTGATGTTGTTCCTCCAATCTTTACTTCAATTTTTAATTCTTCAAGTTCCAGCTTCCTCATGATCACTTTGGTATGCATATTGAATCAGGAAGGTGAAAGAGTGCAATCTTGCGAAACTCATTTTTCTAGCATGAACCAAAAAGTATCTCCATATGGTGTTTGTACAGTGGCTTCCTGATTTGAGGCAGCATGACTACATCATGTTGGCCAGATGTGTTGGCACTTCTGGCTTCTAGGACTTTCCATAACTTGTCATTATCAATACAGTCGAAGGCTTTCTTGTAGCCATTAAAGCAGATGTAGATTTTTTAATATATATTCTTGAGATTTTGCCATGATCCAGCACGAATTTGCAATATGGTCACCAGTGCCATGACTCCATTCTGAAGCCAGCTTGATCATCTGGTACTTCCTTTTTGATGGCTGGTGCCAGATCTTAAGGAGAATCTGAATAGAGTAGAGTAGAGTAGAGTAGAGTAGAGTAGAATGGAATGGAATGGAATGGAACGGAACGGAACGGAACAGAACAGAACCTTGGAGGTCTTCTAGTCCAGTCCACCGCTGAAGCAGGAGAACCTATACCATCACAGACAAGTGATTGTCCAGTATCTTCTTAAAAACCTCCAGCACCCACTATTTCTGAAGGCAAAGCTGTTCCACTGGTTAATTGCCCTCACTGTTAGGAAGTTTCTCCTTAATTCCAGGTTGCTTCTCTCTTTGATCAGTTTCCAACCATTGTTTCTTGTCCTGCCCTCTGGTGCTTTGGAGAATAACGTGACCCCCTCTTCTTTACGGCAGCCTCTCAAATACTGGAATACTGCTATCCTGTCTTCCCTATTTCTTCTTTCTTTTCCTTTTCTTTCTAGGATGAGGAATGAGGACAATTTTGTGGTAATTGGAACAATCCTTGGAGTCACCCTTTATTAGCAATAGAATGAACACTGTTCATTTCCAATCTTGTGACCCTATGTTCATTTCCCAAACTTTCTGGAACAGGGCTGTGGTGGTTGTGGGTGATATGGCCTCAACAATTCTGTGAGGATGGTATCAACGTCTGGTCCCTTGTTATTTGTCAGTTGGCTCGTTGCCCAAATAACCTCCGGAAGGATGGCTGCTTCTGTTTCTGCTTCCCTTTCCTCATCATCCTGAGGAGGCTGGGCTGGCATACAGCTCTTCTTTATATTCTCGCCATCTGTCCTTGACAACTTGTTGGTCAGACAGCTCTTTCCCTTGCTTGCTTGTTTGTGATGATGCTTTTATGAGCAGTAAATGATTTTTGGATCCTTTTGACCTGCACAAATGGATTCTTGCACAAATGGTGTGGCACTTCATGCAGTGCTCTTCTAGCTGCTTACTACATTAGCCCTAATGTACTAATACATTAGTCCTAGTGCTTTATTGTTTTTCCTTACTGTTCTCTTGAAATCTGCATTCTGTCTTCTTTCTTCCTCCCATTGGCTTGCTGCTTTGGCTGCTTTTCTTCACGCAGCTATTTCTGATAGTTTCATCTAGGAGTTACTAGCATTTTTTACTCTGGCTTCTTTTATGGTGTGTGTTCAACTGCTGTTTTAATGATAGTTGATTGGATTTGTTGCCACGGTACGTTGGGCATCTTCCCATCAGTGTCCAGCAATTCAAACCCATTTTCCATCAATTGCAAATTATGGAAGGGATTTTGGTGATGTCAAACCTCTTTGGTGGTGCTGTCTTTTTGATGCTGCATAATTTGACTCTGATCTGATCTTACCAACAATTTATAATCTGAACTGCAGTCAGCACCTGGATATGTCTTGACAGCTAGGACAGAACTAGGCCATCAATGGTTGCACAGGATATAGTTGATCTGATTATGGTGCAGTTTATTTGGTGAGGTCCAAGTATATAAGGGACACTTGTCCTGTTTGAACCAGGAATTCATGATTTGGAATTGATTTTCATGGCAAAATTGAACCAAACAAATGCCGGCTTCATTGTTCTCCCCAAGTCTAAAGCTGCCAGTGATGCCTGCTTTTATTTGCCTGCCAACCTTTGCATTGCATACGTACCCAGTATATAAATAAATGTCTTTTTCGGGCACTTGCTTCAGAGATTTGTCAGTGCTGGCATTGAAACCCTTTATTTCAAGCTCTGTTGCATTAATTGTTGGGGCATAGATTTGAACTCCTGAGATTTTGAGGCGCTTCCTTAACTAAATTTCTTGATTAAATTTGATTTGGTTGTTCATTCAACTTGTTAAGTCATAAACCATGTTTTTTTTAGAACTGTGTGGCACTGAATTAGTGCATTGAGACCAATTGACTCTCAATGACTTAAGTTCACATGAGATGCTGAATCAGATTATGACTTAGTGCAATGTGTAAACCCAGCCATTGTACGGTATATATATAGCATATGATGAAACTATTCAAAGGTTTGGAGAAATATAATAAAAGGAACATAGTAATTTAATGGAATGGCTTGTTTCTGACTGCTCTACCCTCAGCAACTTTTGCTTCAACATAGAAGTCTATGTCTTCTGATAATTTGATGGTATTAGACTTTAAAACCTGCTTTAGCCATTGTGTTGTTGTTGTTGTTAGTTGTGTCTGACCCATCGCGACCCCATGGGCAACGTTCCTCCAGGCCTTCCTGTCCTCTACCATCTTCTGGAGTCCATTTAAGCTCACGCCTACTGCTTCAGGGACTCCATCCAGCCACTCATTCTCTGTCGTCCCCTTCTTCTCTTGCCCTCAATCTTTCCCAGCATCAGGCTCTTCTCCAGTGAGTCCTTCCTTCTCATTAGATGGCCAAAGGACTTGAGTTTCAACTTCAGGATCTGGCCTTCTAGAGAGCAGTCAGGGTTGATCTCCTCTAGGACTGACCAGTTGGATCGCCTTGCAGTCCAGGGGACTCGCAGGAGTCTTCTCCAGCACCAGAGTTCAAAGGCCTGAATTCTTTGGCGCTCAGCCTTTCTTATGGTCCAACTTCCGCAGCCATACGTTGCAGCTGGGAGAACCATGGCTTGACTATACATACTTTTGTTGGCAGGGTGATGTCTCTGCTTTTTAGTATGCTGGCTAGATTTACCATAGCTTTTCTCCCCAAATGTAGCATTTGAAAAAAAATAGCTTCCAGTGATCAGTGAGAATTATTTTTCAAAGCGGTCTGTAAATAGATCTTCAAAACCCAGATGATATAATAGTTTATCTTTTTGTACCTGTGGGATGTTTTTGTCCCTTTGTATTTAATTATGTTTCTCTCCTTTTCAGCTTCAAGAATGGATCGATTCAGTTTTTTTCTCCTTCCAACTCACGATGTCATCCTGAACAAAAGCATTGTCAACTCACACTGAGGAAAAGATTTCGCCCAGGAAATAGCTACGTTGTGGTTTCTTAGGCAACTACCTACAAAATCATTTTCAAAAGACAGAAGGCTGTTATAAAAGGCAACACATTGTACAGAATTACTTCGTTGTTGTTCATATTTGTTTTGCTTCCTGTCAAAAACATGTTCATTTTGGGCACTTAAACTCCCATTAAAATCCTTTAAAACTTTGGGATTCATGGATCATTGGATGAAAAGTTGACCGGAATCTCAGTGAATGATCAAAGACTGCGTGATCTTGCAGGAACAAGAATACCTCCTAATCACCTTAATTCCTCCCCCAACTTCATTGGTGAGCAACCTTGAGACAAAAATGACCTCTAGTCCACGATTATATATCTATTCCAACTGGGCATTTCTTTAATCTACCTTGTTGATTTTCTCCAATAACAGTGCCAGGAGTAGGAAATTCATTCTAGAATTCTACCACTTTTGCAATTCAGAAGTTTATCCTAATGACCATGCTTAAAACTTTTGGCCACCACCTGGGTCTACTGTTTCTTTTCTGCAATAGACGCATATATTATTCATGTACTAAAATCTTTTAAGTCAGCCCATCAGTTATTTAATTTTTTTTTCTCAGTCATCCATACTGAACGGATGGGTTCTTAGACTTACCTTTAAAAAAGCATTGTTGTAGCTCAGGAGTGCGTATCACCATATAATGCTGCTCACCCTAGAGATGTATCCAGCTGTGTTGTTACCTTTATGTAAAAGAAGATATAGCTGTCCAGTGGAACAAGTATCCTGTTTGTAGTTTGAAGGAGAGATGCCACCATTTGGAGTATGAAAAAGCAGAACTTTTTAACTCAGAAGATAGAGATGAGAGCCATCAGTTTTGGTCACCTTGTAAACGGTAAGTCTTTAAAATATTTATCCTTAGAATTGCAAACTAGGAAGAAAAATGGTTTGGAAATACAGTAAAAAGTAAAAGATTTGAATAGCATACTTGAGAAAAGACGTATTTATGAAGAGCAGTTTGTTTCTTCGAATTTGCTGTCTAAATTGCATGCTATTGGAATTATTATTCATTAAATTTACAAGGCTTCTTAACTCAGTGGGATTATAACACCTAGATTGCTTGATTTGTGCCTTCTGCTACAGCTTCCCTCAATGTGATGCTTCCAGATATATTGGCCCTGTTCTGCTTAGCATCCCCAGTTAGCATATCCAGTAGAATTCTTCAAGCATACTGGGAATTCTGAAGTTACAGACCCAGCATAACTGGGGAAGTCCTTGATAAACAGTTCATTTTCAATAGCGATGTCAGTGATACCTTAATACTCCTCGTTAATTGGTTCTGGGCGGTGCAATGAGTACCAAAAAAAAATTAGTACCAAACAAATTTTTCCCATAAGGAATAATGTAGTGAGTCACGAGGCAGCTGATACCGACAAGTTCTATCTTGTGCATTGAGTACCAAACAAACAATGAGTACCGGGTCAAAATTTTCACGCCGGAATGTGTTGAGTACCAAATTTGATGAATTTCAAAGCAGTTGAGTACGAAGGTACCACTGTATTTTGGCCTTATGAAAAGGCTGAAGGGCCCATGTTATCTTTTCCCAATGCATTCACTCTCTTGAGGACAAAGACAACCGAACAACATTCTTGTCAAATCTCTCCTACCGAAGTCAGAACTCCAAAATGAAGACAAATGTGTATGTTCTTCTTAACTACTTAGATTTGCCAGAAGGGAATTCTACCAAAACCGTTGTTGCTATTACACAATCCTGTAGGAGTCACAAGAGAGAAAGCTGCTAATGATAAGGGTAGACGGGAATTGTGCTGGGGTTAAACCGTTGCCAGTCCTGATTATATAAAGACCAGAACACCAGCTGAAGCTCCATAAAATGCTTTTTTCTTGCTTTAGTATCATTGCTTTGTGTTCAGGGCTAACTAGCTGGAATTTTTCTCCTGTCAAGTCAAACGCCGGAGGATGTCAGCATTTTATGTAAGATTGAGATCAAATTTGGTATTTTGGGAATTGCCATCTGTGCTCTTTTTATATAAGGAAGATTTGCTGCCAAGATTTGTGTACAATCTTGTTAGGATTCAGCCATGATGGTGGGGGAATTGTTTGAAAAATAATGATATGGCTATGTGATTGCAATATCTAAGTGAATTGCTAGTGTTTGCTTGTAGCACCTTTACCATTGCTCCTAAATTTTTTGGGAGAATCTCAAAAACTCATAGAAAAAGAGCTGAGCTGGGTTTATACTGTAATGCAGGTAGTCCTCGACTTACAACACTTTGTTTAGTGACTGTTCAAAGTTACAACAGCACTGAAAAAAGAGACTTACGACCTTTTTCATGCTTATCACAGTTGTGGCATCCCAATGGGTTGTGCGACCAAAATTCAGACGCTTGGCAGTTTATATTTATGATGGTTGCATGTTCCAGGGTCATGTGATCACCTTTGACAACCTTCTAACAAGCAAAGTCATTGGGGAAGCCAGACTCACTTAATAACCGTGTTACAACCTTAACAGCTGCAGTGATTCACTTAACAACTCTGGCAAGAAAGGTTGTAAAGTGGGGCATGACTCACTTAACAATTGTCTCGCTAAGCAAGAGAAATTTTGGGCTCAGTTGTCATAAATTGAGCACTATCTCTATAGCAAAAGCAAAAACTTAAAAAAAGAATATACTGGTAATTTTATTATTATTATTATTATTTTTAAAATTTATAAGCTGCCCCACTCCCGAAGGACTCTGGGCGGCTAACAATAAAAAACACATAAAACATAACAAACAACAATACAAAAACAATCATTTGTACCTTATCTTTCCTTGTTGCCTGTTGAAGGACCACAAACACTTATTTTCTCTTAAACCTCGATGTTATGAACTTCTTTAGAGGCTCTTACCTGCATGCCCTGAATTTCAGAGATGAGGTGAAAGATCTTTTCATGGCTGTCCTTGCTTGGAATATCTATATAAGAATTTAAGACAAGCCATGCTGGATTAGAGATAGGCTTGATTTAAGATTAATGTGAGCTTTGCCTCATCTCTGGCTCTCTATGTATGGAGATATATCCTGAACCTATAGTCAAAAGTTAGCAAGTTAAGTTTGAAGTTAAAAAAATAGCTAGTCCTTTTAACTTCAAACCATTCCTAACTTCACCGTTTATGAATTTGTCCCTCTTTTGACTAATTAAAATTAATTATTATAGCTATACCTTTAATCATCTGGCATCTTCTGTACTATGTTTTAAGTGCCAGCTTAAGATATTTCATTTTGTTTGAAAAGGGAGCCTTGTTGGTAGATTATTTTGACTTTGTTCTTTTGAGAATTGTTATGAGAGTATAATTAGTCCTCTTGTACATTGGTGCTTTCATTGTTTTTGTTCTACTCTTTCTTGATTTTTTTTAATCTGGTAAACTAAATTCTGTTCATTATTGCATGTCACCTGAGGGAGGAAAAACTAATCAAGTTTAAATAGTTGAATAGATCATTAAAAGCAAAATGCATACTATTTTATGACTCTAGTTTCTAAGCCCCTTCTATGTGCATTGTCTTGCATCCAGAGAAAGGCCTATAATTCTCTCATAGTTGTTTGAGAATTAGCTGACAGAATTCAGTGGTTCTTACTTTTGAGTAGAATTACGTTGTGCTTGGATCCATTTCAATTAATGCCGCACCATTTTTAATCCCACTCTTCCTTGCAAGAATAAAATAATGTGAAAATTATAAGCACTGGAAGCAGAATAAATTATGGAGAACATGCAAATGTAAATCTACATTTATACAATGTCTTGCCAGGGAAATTGGCAAAGAAACATCCTTACTTACCTTTCCATTGACTGGTGAAAAACCACTTAGTTTTCTCACCATTTGGCTGCTTGCCATGCTGTTGCTCATAAACATTTATTTAATGCAGTTTTCTATGGATTTTTTAAATGCACTGTTTTATTTGGGGGGAAGGAAGGGTTTTTTAAGAGGTATGGAAGCACTGATTTATTTCTCTTGTGTAGAAACTTGGCTGGTACCTCAATGTAACATAAAAAAAGAATAATTATTCTGATGTGCAGGCAGGCCAGGCCATCCCAGTTGATAGAGGATGCTATGCAAATACGTTTGTGCAATTAGTTGTTCTTGTTCTACACTGCACTACACTTCAACTGATGTCAGTTTTCCATTTGAGCTGAATTTCTGGCACATGGTGAAAAGCTGTAAAAAAGAGAGATAGTATTAAAAAAAAATCAAGTGCCACAGTCTGGTAAAAGCTCATATTCACTCTGCCCTTTAATTGGCACCTCCAGTTTAACTGTAAGCGATTAGTTGCTAAATTACTTACAAGCAAGTTTCTGACTTAGATAAAAGGAGAATTTTTTTTCTATAAAAAAAACAATGCTGGGCCCCTGTAAGAAGGAAGAAAATATGTGTTGCAATGTGTCATATATATAATTTATGCTCTTTGGTTTATCGTAGCAGCAAGTGAGTGGGTGGGTAGGGGAAAACATATCCTTGGGAGGAAGGGAGCTGTTAAATCATTCGGCTGGTTTAATGATTCAGCCTCTTGGCGACTTGTTGAAAGTGTTCTGTGCCGCTGGTTTCAACTTACAAGAAATCAATACCATATGCATGAGTAAACCATCTTGACACAAGAGGATGTTTAAGATATAGTTCTGTGTACTTTCCCTCTTAAACAGAAGCAGGACTAGCCTTCTGGAAAAGGAAACACATGTCATCACAGCTGCCTTACTCGCTCTTTTCTTCTGTTGTTTTCAGACTGAGAGCTAGGGTGGCCTATTGAATAGAACAGGATTGAGACCTGTGAACCCTCCAGATGTAACTGGACTACAGTTCCAGAGTAACCTCAGCTCTGGTCAAGGATGAAGGATGTTGAATCTCAGCAACATCTGGAATTTGGCCAGTTTCTCCCACCCTCTCTTCTTCCTAGAAAAGATTTTGGACTATAGGGGATTAAGTTCTCAAGAGTTGTTGAGAAAATACAGATATTTTCTGGATGTATAACTTCAAATGGTTGGCTAGGACTTAATCTGTTGAATTGCTGCTGTGACCGGGCAGAGGGGGAAAGAGTCATCTTTCTGTGGAAGATTCCTAGTTGGAGTCCTTGGGTTCACCATTTTTAAAAAAGTTAGTGGATGGTGAGAAAGAGGTTTTTCTGCCAGAAACTGCAAAGCCAGCAGCTAGTTAGCACTGACTCAAATTTCTGCATGTTAGCTAGGACTTCCAATCCATATTTGGAGAGCACTAAGGTGCATAAAGTGACACAAATAATACTATAGATAGTATTCAGTTATTAGTCATAGCATAAATGTTGCTCTCCCAGGCAATTATCTATTCATATTTTTTCCCTATACAGGTAGTCCTCACTTACTGACCACAACTGGGGCCATAACTCCATCACTAAGTGGTGAAATGTCATATGACTGCACTGACTTCAATGTCAGTTTGCACTGTGATTGTTAAACAAATCATTGGAGGTTGTTAAATGAGACATCATGTGACGATGAACTCTTGACTTCCTGTTGGCTTCCCCACTGACTTTTATTTTTGGTCAGCTCTTCCATATCTATGAACAAGTTGCAGTTCTTGAAAAAAATCTTCATAATGAAACTAAATCCAAATTGGCCTGCATTTACAGCCATTTGCAGTGTCTTGTAGTCATGTGATTACAATTTATGACATTTTTGCTGAAAACCGGCATTTACTTCTAGTGTCTGGCAAAAACTACCCATAATGAACAATTGATTCATTTAATGACTGTGCCATTCACTTAATGACTGCTACAAAAATAGGTAAAATAGGGGCAGTCACACCATGACTCGCTTTACAACCATCTCAATTTACAACCATAATTACCAGGCTCAATAATGGTCATAAGCG